TGAAGGGCGGACAGGGTGCACAGAGGGACAAGATCAGCGTGGAGGAAGAAGGCTCAGAGGGGCCCGACTAAAGTGTAGGCAGAGAGTCTTTGTCAGTGTGCACACATTGCATGTATGCTTTCCTGAATAGTTAGAATATTTTATACAAGACAAATTCAAATGAACAGAGTCCTAGGCATAAGAACTAGCAAATTTTGGGCACCTCAGATTTTTTTCTCCCCGACTTTTAGTCACACCATATGAAGCATTATCCATCATGTCTTTTTTTTTTTTAATTGCTACATAATTCTTGGTCTTTAGATTTTTCACAAAACTTTTCATTAAGGTTTTAGAACTAGCAAGAATCCAATAGGTCACTTGATTTAATCAGTTTATTTTACATACACAGACTCAGCCAAACTGATCATCAGGAAGATGTTTATGGATATATTGAGTGGGAAGCTGAACATATATGCTGGCCTTAAACCTTTGGTTGGTATCTGTATCAAAAGCCAGATTTTTTAAATTGACAGAAATGCTATTTAAAGGCTGCATTGGTAAACTAGCTTTATTTATTTATTTACTTAGAGTCAGGGTCTTGCTGTGTGGTCCAGGTAGGCCTTGAACTCATTATGGGCCCAGCTCAAATTCACCGCCGCCTGCCTCAGCTGCCTGACTGCCTGGCTCCTCGCTCAGAATTTTACATCTCCAATTGCTTCCTCCAGATAACTGTACGTTTGGCCGTTTAGCGCCTTCCTGCCCTCCGGAAAACTGCATCTAACATCTTTCATACCCCAGGAAACTGCTAGACAAAGAGAAAACTTATAGCGGGGTGGAGACGCCAGGTCTGCTGCCCTTCCAAGTTCTCTGCCGCAGAATCTTCTCATCTCTCTGTTGGGCAACATCACCTAGACAAGGAGCTCTCCTCTGCGGTTCCTTTCCTCCAGGGAGGTTTTCCCCTTCCTTGGCAGGGCGGTGTGGGAAAGGCCTCTGTGTGGGAGCGGCCTTCCCCTGTGAGATTTGCTCTCTGCGTGCGGCAACGCCCACACTGTCAAGCGCATTGCCTTGCTACTGCCACCTTGTGGTCTTAACTTGTCTTTTCTGGGGCCTCATATTCTTTTTTTTTTTTTTTTTCCCCTGGTGTTTTTGAGACAGGGTCTAGCTAGGACCTTCAGCTCACTTTGTAGCCCCGGGCTCTCCTGGAATTCGCAAAGATCCTCCTGCCTCAGCCTCCCGAGTGCTGGGATTACAGGCGTGCGCCACCATGTCTGGCCCCCAGGTCCTTCAATTCAATAAAAAAAAAACCCTTCTTATAGGATGGGAATGGGAGATAGAAGTTGTACTGGCAAACTCAAGGAAAAAGAGGCTTTGTTCTTTCTATATATATTTCCTATTAAATGAGGAAAAAAAGAATTCCAAAAAGCTGATGGAAGTCCAGGCATAGCCTTTCCTGTAGATTTCTAGAAAATAATCATGTGAGAGACGGAACACACAAAGGCATGGAGATGATTACTCAGGGTTTTTTGGCTATGACTTGAACTCAAAGCTGCACTTTTATTTCTGTGCTGCCATTTCTCTTAAATACAAATTGTGATAACTGTCCTGACAAAAAAGTGCCCATTCCAGGGACAGTCAAAGGCATGTAACTTACAAGGAGAAGTCACAGAAGCCACTCTGAGAAAGTGACAGGCTGAAGACTACGAAGGAATTTGCCAAGGAAAGAGTAAATGGAAGAACCTTCTGGTTGTTCGGATTCAAAAAAACAACAGCCACATGAAGGGCTCTGCAGCAGTCTCTGACCTTCTCCTCACCTTCTCTTGCTCCTCATTCTCCTCTGAAGCAAAATAGAAACCAGAATTCCTCTTCCCCAAAGTGAGTCCTAGAAACCTGAACACATTTTCCCCAAAGTCAGCCATAAAAACTAGAATTATTAACTTTCCTCTGGCTTTATGTATAAGATCTTGATAGTAAAACCCAGGTAGGTGCAACCAAGATATTTGGGAGGGTGAAGCAGGAGGATTTTAAGTTCAAGTTCCTTAGGGAAACCCTCTCTTAAAATAAAAAATAAAAATGAAGAAAGTGCTGGGAGTATAGCTCAGTGATAGACTGCTTGTCTAGTATGCATAACTCCTTGGGTTTAATCCTTAGTACAGAAAGAAAGAAAGAAAGAAAGAAAGAAAGAAAGAAAGAAAAGAGGAAGAAAGAGAGAAAAAACAAAAGGAAGAAAGGAAGAAAGAAAAAAGAAAGAAAGAAAGAAAGACTGGCTTTCATACCACAGAGGAAGAAATACTACTGCTGAGGGACCAATACGAATCTGCAGTCAGACTACATCCACTGGCTCACACTCTTTTTTGCCCTATCACATTTCTACCTACTGTGTCTACTTCAATGAACCAAAGTATAAAAATGAACAGTTCATCCTAGGTCTTTGGAGTCCTCAATCTTAGGTCTTTGGAGCCTCAAAGGCTCCAGGTCACACAGAACTATAATCAAATAGATCTGTTATGTTTTTTCTCTTATTAACCTGTCTATTGTGATGGGAGTATAGGCCATGACCTTTTATGATAAGCGAACTGGCAACAAATCATGGTGTCTTTCACGTGGCGCTAGTTTTACGGGCATGCAGAATGCAAGAGTTATGGGTCAGGGAAGCTTCCACCCAGATTCAAAAGAAGGCCTGGATCACACAAGAACTATCACAAAGAATCAACAACTGGGATTTAATCTTATTAAAAAGCTTTCGCACAGAAAAAGAAATCTCCAACAAAGTGAAAAAACAACTCACAGACTGGGAAATTTTTTTGCCAGCTGTTCTTCAGATGAAGGACTAATATCTAGAACATATAAAGAAGTGAAAAAAATCAGACCCTCAAAAATCAAAGACCCAATCCAAAAATGGGCATCTGAGGTGAATACACACTTCTCAGAAGAAGTAGTACAAATGGCAAATACATAAAAAAATGCTCAACATCACTAGTCATTCCAGAAATGCATATTAAAATAACACTGAGATTCCATCTCACTCCACAAAGAATGGCTATTATCAAGAAAACAGCTAATAACCAATGTCGGCAGGCCTTTTGGGAGAAAAAGGAACAATTTTCCACTGTTGGTGGAAGTGTAGGTTGGTGCAACCACTATGGAAATCAGTGTGATTCTTCAAGACTAGGATTAGAGGTCTTATTTGACCCAGCTATTCCTCTTCTGGGTATCTTCCCAGAAGAATTAAAAGCATCATACCACAGAGATATGTGCACCCATGTTTGTAGTGACATAGGTTGTAATAGATAAATCTTGGAAGCATCCCAAATGCTCATCAGCTAATGAGTGGACAAAAAAGATGTGGGGTTTTTTAAAATATAGTGGAGTATTACTCAGCTGTAAAGGATAAAATTGAGACATTTATAGCTAAATGGATGGACCTTGAGACCATAATCATAAGTGAAATAAATCAGACACACATGTATAAATACTATATTATTGCTCTGGTGTGAGACACTGAAATTGTAAATAAGAGCCGAAATGTACAATACATATTGTGAAACAGGAAGAAACTGTTTAAAAAGAAAAGGGAATTAGGGAAGGGGGGAGGGAAAGGAAAGGAAAGAAAAAATCAGAAAAGAAGGATAAAATGGAAGTAGAGTTTTGTGAACGGGGAAGGGATGGGGACAGGGAAGGGGGTTTGAAAGGAGGGGACAGGAATGGGAAAAAAGAGTAAGACATATCATGTACAAGTAAGAAATTCCATATAATGAATGTGATCATTAAGTATACCTAAATTGTACCAGTGACATTAAATAGAAAGGTTTTAAAAGGCCTGGGAGGCCAGGCAATGTGCCCCTGAGAGTGAGTGTGAAGTAAAAAATGCAGTGAAGACCCCAGGCAGTTGGAGAAGCCAGGAACGTGGAACATCTGAGAAAAGCTGCAGGCAGTGAGCAGAGCCAACCCCAGAAGGAGAGCATGTGGGCTGTAACCACCAATGCCAGGGAAGGGGCCGCCCAAGCCCTCAGGAACTCACACCTCACCACCATTTTTCCCGGGTGCTGGGCACAGAGCCATGGGATTTCACGTTTGCTGTGCTGGAGTTCGGTCTCATTTTGGTTCCATTCCTTCCTGTCCTGCTCTTTCTTCCTTTTGGAATGGGAATGTTTACCCTGTGCCACTGTATACTGGCTGTGTTTAACTTTCCTTTTGAGTTTACAGGGGCTCACAGCTACAAGTTTGCCTGGAGTCTCAGAGAAGACTTTGTTTGTTTTGGTCTTTTTGAGACAGGGTCTTGCTATGCAGTTCAAGTTGGCCTTGAGCTCACTTTGTAGCCCAGGCTGGTCTTGAACTCTCAACAACCCTCCTGCCTCAGCCTCTGGAGTGCTGGAATTACAGGCGTGCGCCCCTACACCCAGCTTTCAGAGAAGACTTTGGATTTGGACTTTTCAGCAACGGCGGAGTTCTTAAAACTTTGGTGACTCTTACAGATGGGCTGAGTGTATTTTGCATAAAGTGATATGCTCAGGATGTAGCTCAGTGTAGTGAGTTTCCTGTTACGTACAAGGTGCGGGGTTCAGTCCTCAGTGCCACACAAACACACAAAAGAAAGCCATGTACATGAGTCTTTTAGGGGCCAGCACGGAACGTTATGTTTTGGACCAAGAATGTGCCCAAGGGCCTCATGTGCTCACAAGTGGGGCTTGCAGGGGGTGACTGCACGATGGGGTGACTGGACCACTGTACTCATCGTTTACTGAATCATTTACCGAGGGGCTCGCCAGCTGAGTATGCAGCTGGACAGCAACGCCTGCCCGGAAGAAGCACCGCTGGGAGGTCCATAGCCCCGCCGGCCCCTCCTCCACGCTCTCTGATTCCTGGTACCATGGTGCTTCCACCTCGCTGGTTGTGTGTCTAAGCCTTCTGAACAAGGACTGGAACTTCGCAAACCCTAAGGTGTCAGACATCTTACCCCAGTGATGAGGACAGTGACTAAGACAGATACATATTTATATAAATATATTTATATAAAATAAGCATTTCCAAGTTATAAATAAATAAAAGTTTTTAAGGAAACCAAATCACTATAAAAGTTAAAAAATGGAATACACTTCATCCATTAATTCTAGAGGTCAGGAAAAGTTCTTTTTCATGAAAGAAATGTACGAACTGTACCCTTGATTGTACTCCTACAAATAGGACACTTTCTCAAAGACGGGGCACAGTCTCTGCACACTACTAGATGGCCACAGGGAATAAACACTATGGACACTTCTCTGTCCATACACACTTTGCAGGTCCTTTCTTCTTGCAGTCTCCTCAGCTGCTCTTCCACTGGGAGATCTAAGAAAAGAATGTTTTTATTATTTCAGCTTACGAGTACCTGAGCGAGGTACATCGTGATCACATCCCTTGTGCGGGGTTGGGATGTGTACGTAACACATCCTAATTCCGTAGGCCTTCCTCCGCTCCCCCTCCCTCCATCTCCTTGTTTTTACCCCTTCCCTCCCTCCTCTTTGAGAACAATCTATCTCCCTACTTCCTGTTCTCGCTGTTATTTTGCTCTTTAGTTTTACTCTTGGTTTATCATATAAGAGAAACCATGTGATATTTAAACTGTGTGTCTGATTTATTTCATTAAACATTACAGTTTTAAGGTACATTTATTTTCCTATAAATGACTCAAGTTTATCTTTCTTTACAGCACAGTAGTATTCTGTGGTGTATAAACAGCACAAGAAAAAAGACTTTTTAGTAAAAAGCAATGCTCTTTTTCTTAAATGAAAAATAAAATAAAAATAATGTTTTGTACTGGTTTAAATTGTTAATACTATTACCTGAAATATCTTCCGTGAGAATATATTTTATGTCCTGTTGCACTAAAAGAAAAAAACAAAAACTATTACTGTGATGAACAAGGTTAGCATTTAGCCACAGACTGCATGTTTTAAACGAAAAATATATTGGGAGCCAGACAAAATTATACATGAAATTTTTTGTAAATAAAAATTGTTAAGGAAACCTAATCAATGTAAAAGTTAAAATTATGATACAACTAACCCATGAATTCTAAATGGATTTTAAATGCCTTATATCCCAGCACTGTAGGAGGCTGAGGCATGAGGTTCGCAAGTTCGAGCCCAGTTTGGTCAGCCACATGAAGTAAGAAACTCTGTCTCAAAATTAAAAATAAACTAGGGCTAGGGATGTAGCTCAGTGTGAAGACCCTGGGTTCAGTCCTTGGAGATAGATAGATCGATAGATAGATAGATAGCCCAAACTCAGAATTTTAAGGCAACAGAAGCCTTTGATTTATAAATTAGATCAAGTTATTTTCTATAATCATCAATCATTTATGAGTATGTTTTCAACTGTCCTAGAAAGTTCTCAAAGTAATTTTCTCGTACTCACCAAATAAATGCTTGTATAACTTTGGGTCCATTTCTTGTAGAGAGGTTTTGAATACAGTGGCAGCGGTATTCCCTTTGACTAAAATAGTATCAATTAGTTCCCTTGCTTGTAAAGACACCCGTGTTTCCTGTTTGATAACATCATGTTCTTGTTCATTAATCACCCTTGCAAGTAGTAGACTGTTCAGTATCGGAATTACAGAAGTCAAATGCTGAAAGAGTGCCGTTCTGTTCTTCCGGATCAACGATAGATCTTCTGTATAAAAAATAGAAAGAAGGAACTAAATACAAACATGTTCAAAGGTCTCACAAACTTCTTTCTACACCTGCATACACAAACAAATGAAAACCCCCTGTCACTCACAAGCAGGTAGTGCCTTTCTGCTCTTACTGTAAATTATTGAGGTACCGCTCCTGATGGTTAGACTTCAGCCCGCTTCTCTGTGTCTAGTAATAGTGCTAGGTAGAAGGACTGACACATCCTGAATGCCTGCGTTACACATTTTACGTGTCGCCTTCACAAGAGCCCCTTGGAGTAGTTACTAATTCCCTGCTTTAACAGATGAGGAAACAGCTACAGTGAGACAGGCAAGGTGCCAAAAGACACAACTCTAACCAAATTCAGTCTGAGGCAGACCGGTACCGCGATCTGACCACTCTGTAGTACTTACTGCTAAGCCAGGAGCCAAATGGAGGTTAGGGTCTAACAAAACTGAAATTTTAATTCAACCTAATCACATCGGGGAAAGGTAAAATCAAGAGAATTAAAATAGTTCCCATAAATTCTTCCACAAGTTTCTGTAACTTCTATTTTTAAGCTGAAATTTTCCCTAGATCAGACATATTGCTACTACCTAAATAATTTATAGTAGGAGCAGAAAGGCACTAGTACATTTTGAACAATATATCCTATTTATCGAGGACTATCTTCTTGTCTTATTGGATCTTCTTATTCTTTTTTAAGACCTAGATTTTTATTTAGTGGCAAAAAAATTTTATACTTTGAAACTATAATTTTATTACCTATGTTTATTGATTGCCAATAGCTTACCATAGCCATTAAGCTGTTTGTTTGTTTTTTTTTAATTTAGTGGTGTGGGTTTTGTTTTTTTTTTTTTTTTTTGTCTCCTGGAGACAGGGTCTCACTATGCAGTTCAGACTGGCTTTGAGCTCACTTTGTAGCCCAGGCTGGCCTCGAACTCACAACAATCCTCCTGCCTCAGCCTCCCCAATGCTGGGATTACAGGCGTGTGACACCATGCCCCGGCTTTAATTTAGTTTTGACTTTGTATTTTCTACCACAGCGTTATTTCTGTAACATCACAACAGAAGTGGGACTTGTTGAAGAAGAACTACTTCAGGAGAGTGACTGGTAGGTTTGGGATATACTGACTTGGTCAAGTAATATGGAACTATCTCGAAAGGAAACAAATGGTGCTTGGTCAAAAAGTCAAGGCCAGAGATATCCATTCTGAAGGTAACTGGAACTCTGAGAATTAATGAGAAAAGGACCAGGACCTAGAATAGTGCCTGGAGCAAAACTAAGGCTCAATAAATAACTGTTGAAAAGAAAAGCCAAGCCTCAGTAATTTAGACAGAAGGAATAAAAAAGTTATACCCACAGGCATGGTACATTCAGAACAATATGTCAAATTATCTACAGTGGAAAAATAGTAACACATTAGAAAATAAAAACCATAATTTGTACTTCATGTTGAAGTATATTAGCTTTTCAATCTAAGATTTATTTTTCTTTTCTCTTTTTTTTGTCTTTTTGAGACAGGGTCTCACTATGCAGTTTAGGCTGCTCTTGAACTCACTGTGTTCAGTGGCCTTGAACTCGCAACAGTCCTCCTGACTCAGCCTCCCAAATACTTGGATTACAGGCATGCACCACCATATCCAGATAAGATTCATTTTTCTAATTTTTTTTGTTTAACCTAATGTAATTGTTTTGTTTTGGTGCTGCGGCTCAAATCCAAAGCCTCAAGCATGCTAAGCATGTACCCTACCACTGAGCTGTACCCCAGCCCCTCTGAAATTCATACAATTTGACGGCTAGTCGCTGGGGAAAGTCTCATTTTAAAGTCATACATTGTATTGTAGTTTAGAAGTTATAAAGATTTGAATATACCTTTGAAGTGTATTATTATTTTATTCTGGAAAATTTTTACCTCGGTATACCTGTCAAGAAATTAATCATTGCTTGTTCTTGGGGAACTATAAGGTAATCATTAACCTAAATCATTCACTCATCAAACAATATTTCTTGAGCACAGACTATGTACAGAGAGTATGCCAGGTGGAAGAGACAGAGGGTGTGGCTGAGACACTAAGAGCTCTCTTTGACAGTGTAAAGCATGGTACATTATTGACTTGGAGTCATCTCTGGAGACTTGATTGATTTTCTATGAAAGAAATATACGTATTTTCATTGGTGGATGCTTTTACCCTTGCGGGATCTACCCCAAATGTGAAGGTGAATGCTTTCTTTAAGCAATTGTTGGCTGACAACCAATGGCCAAGAGTGAGAAGACTGTAGGAAGAATGCACTTATCTAATCTTTACCATGAAAAGGAAAACCTGCCCAGGCTGAGCAAGGGTTAACTTGAATTATGTAGCTGCTGTACTGAAGGCCTAGAACCTGAGTAATTTACAATCTAGTGAATGGATGATGCTATATTACTATGTTCTGATATGTTTTTCTTTATGAGCTGGAGAGGTTTATCCTTGAATAGAGTGGACAAACTGTCAGTCATCCTGGGAATGGATCCCAGATGGCCTTAGACGAAGATAAGAGCAAACTTTTGGCTCCTTCTTGGAGGCCTGAGCTTTGATAACGGCAACGTGTTTGGGACTTTCTGAAACATTTGTGTAAATTGGTCAGAGGTACATAGAACTAAATCAAAATGCCATGCAGAAAAACTCAGGTGGATGGGCGAAGGGCACCAAGAAAAGTCAACCCCTACTTAGCGTTGTAAACTGTCACTTGTGATATAGCTCCTGTTACCCCGGAGTCTTCTGGGAGACCTTGTCAAAAGAGGCAGTCTGTGTCAAGCTATATTGAAGGCACTTTTGATTTGGTCCCTGCTTGGGCAAAGCGGCAGTGAGAGGTCAGCATTTCTCTTTGTCTAGGCCAGAGTGGTGACAGCAGTCGGAGCACCCTGATAGGAACCGGCCACCCGGAGGAAGAGAGGTTTTGCACAGAGCAATGAAGTTTGGAGCAGCAGACGTCCAATGCGGAAGGACACAGCTCACTTATCCTGACACAACGTGACACAGAACGCAGGACTTACCTGTCAAACACTCAGAAGGAACTCACTTCTGGTGTGGGCAGATAGAGGACTTAATCACAATTAGAGCATTAATTTATAATCAAGGACTGAGAATATTACTGTGCTGATATTAAAATTAATAATTTCCCCTGAACTCAATTTACAACAAAGGGAGTGAAAAACTAGCCCAGGATCAAAAGCCAGCCTGGAATAACTGCACACAAAGTCAACTACCCAGAGGAAGAATGGGAATTGAAGGAAAGAAGGAAGCATTGCTTACACTCAGTGTGTACATTTTCAATGTGATAACCAATTCCAATGTATCTGAATGTGAAGAAATTTCAGAATTTGAGCTAAGAATGATAAACATAAGAAAAATCTGCCTCAGTGATGCGCACATTTCCAGCAACGGACACAAGCGACCGCACATCCTCACAGGAAGAGAAACTATATTCATAAATATACGCACCTGATTCCTTTTCTTCATTTGCTCTCTCTTTCGCCTCTTCCCTTATTTCATCTTCTGCATTAAGTAAATCTAACACAAGGTCGCTGATGGTTTTATAATTGTCTCCGGTGCTTAGGATTTTGCTCTGAACCGTCTGCTTTACCAGGCGTCTACTGAAGCCCATCTCTAGGGCAGCTTTAACCTCAGCGGTGTTCATCATGACGGCATCTTCTGATGGGCTCTCTCCAGGTCCAAAATGGACAACTATGCGCAACACGGGAAGGGACACACGTTAGAGCAGTCTGTACATTTTTAAAATTGAAAGGCACTACAATATCAAAAATGCAGCACATGGGTACATAGCATTTCACACAGAGTTTTGTTAGATTCAAAATGATATATATGTTCTATCACTAAAATAAAAATGTGAGATACTGTATTTAAATTAAAATCTGAATTATTTGCCCTACTTGGGTATGTATTTGAGAGGAGAAAGAAACACAGTGTCAGGGGTTGTCTCCCATTAGAACCGAGATTCATTATCCCCTACGCTGAATGAACAAATGGACTTTCTAGAGCAAATATGTATTTTCAGATATTTTGGAAAGAGGCCATTGTCATTGCTCACCTCTGTTCCTGCAACGGCCTCCCAGCTCATTCTCAACAGTGCAGTCGGAGTGACTTTTAAAATCTGACTACGTCACACTCCTTAAACTGCGTCGGATTCCATGTGCTAGGACAGAATCCAAATATTTGTATGTTTGTTTGTGATACTGGGGATTGAACTCAAGCCCTCAGTCATGTTAAGCAAATACTCTACCACAAGGCTCCATACCTTGCCTTTTCATTAATTGTTTTTAGTTTATTTTCTTTTTTTGAGACAAAGTCTCACTTTGTGGTTCAGGCTGACCTTGAACTCACTCTTTTTAAAAAAATTTTTTTATTTTTAAAGATAAAGAACAAAAATACATTAACAAACAAATAGACATAAACAAAACCCAAACAATAGACCCAAACAATAGAAGCAATACAGACTTTCAGACAGGGTGATAGAAAATTAACAATAGCTGCTGTATTATATATTGTACATATTGTTATCTTCAAATTGGTTACTCAGTTTAACAAATATAGGCATTTAAGATTGATCAAACAATTAAACATTAACTATTCCTTTCAATAAAACAATAGAAGTTGGTAGTATGACTCTCTCAGTGGGTGTGTGTGTGTGTGTGTGTGTATTTCCCCATTTCTTTTTCCTTCTTTTTCTCTTTTCCCTCATCCCAGTTGTTCCCTCCCTTTGAACAGTTTCTTTCACTTTCACAATATCTATTATACCTTTCAGATTTTATTTACTAAAGGTTCCTACACTAGTGAGACAATATGGTAGTTATACACGTGGGTCTGATTTATTTCACTTATGAGTATGGCCTCTAGTTGCATCCATTTACCTATGAAAGCCTCAACTTTATCTTTCTCTATAGCTGAGTAATATTCCATTATGTAAAAATACCACATCTTTTTTATCCATTCCTCAGTGGATGGGCTTTTGGGTTGCTTCCATGATCTGGCTATTACAAATTGAGCAGCTATAAACATGGGTGCACATATATTGCTGTGGTATGATGTTTGTAGTTCTTCTGGAAGAATACCCAGGAGGGGAATGAGATGAATGGGACCTCTAGACCTAGTTTGCTGAGGAATCTCCAGACTGATTTCCACAGTGGTTGCACCAGTCTACATTCCCACCAACAGTGGAGAAGGGACCCTTTTTCCCCACAGCCCCTCCAGCATTTGTTATGGGTTGATTTCTTGATCATAGTCATTCTTTGACTATGAGATGAAGGTGAGATGGAATCTCAGTGTTGTTTTAATTTGCATTTCTCAAATGACTAAAGACATTGAACATTTTTTCACGTATTTATTTGCCATTTGTATTTCTTCACCTGAGAAGTGTGTATTCATCTCTGATGTCCATTTTTGGATTGGGTCTTTAAATCTGGGGGTACTGATTTTTTTTTTTTTTTTTAGTTCTTTATATGTTGAACTCACTCCTAGACTGGCCTCAAACATGCAGTGATCCTCCTGCCTCCACCTCCTGGGTGCTGGGATTACCAGAGTGCACCACCATGCCTGGTGCCCTTTTTATTTACTTTGAGACAGGTTCTCTCTAAAATTTCCATGCTATCCTCAAACCTGTGGTCCTCAGGCCTCAGCTGCCTGAGTTGCTGGAATATAGGTGTGTACCACCATGCCCAGCTGTAGTAAAAAATTTACTTGTGGTTTATGAATTCTCCTGCAACCTGGACCCTGTTTACCTCCATAGCCTCATCTTTTGCCTCTTCTTTGCATCCTGCATTCCAGCCTAGATGTCACAAACTGATGCCTCGGGTCTAACTCTGCCCGCACTGCTGAGCACGCTTGCGCTGGCCTGCTTCACACCTGTGTCTATTCACAGCTCCTGCTCCTGTCCATATAGAACTTCGTTCAGTTCTTCCAGTGCACTATTGCACGTCACTTAGGCCTTTCATACACTGCCCCCCGCCCCTGGAATGTATTTTTCTCCCCTTGTCACTTGATTGAGTGCTTTTCCCTGGGGTTCTCTGCTAAGACAATGCTTCCTCCAGACAGCCTTCCTCTGGGTTCACTGTCCTCATGCACCATCCCAGCTCACTTTACTGTCCCTACCAGATCACTTCTATCTTTGTTTTTATCAGTAACCCTACCATTATTAGCTCATGAGCCATGCATATCCTGGTTTTTTTCCTCAGAACAGCTAAAACACAATAAATATTTACCGAATTGAATCGCATACTAAAAATGGAATAGAAACACTTGTTCTAGTATTTGCTTTATCCCCTTTTGGGCTTAAGATAATGAACAAACCTCTTAACCACTCTGAATCTCTGTTTTCTTATTGAAGAACAGAAATAGTATTTTCTATCTTCTCCATTCCAGAGAAGGAATATATAAGCAATCTAACATCACAGTATATCTGTTCCCATGCTGGTTCAAAACAAGGGGTATGGTGCCCCTTACAGGCATGGTGCACACACCTGTAATCCCAGCACTTGGGAGGCTGAGACAGGAGGATTGCTGGGAGTTCAAGGCCAGCCTGCACTATGTAGTGAGACCTTGTCTCAATAAAAATAAATAAATAAATAAATAAATAGCACAAGGGTTAGGCTGGGTGCACATTGTTTGTTGAAACTACAGATGTCCCAGACTGGGTATGTAGCCCTTGGTTCAGTCCCAAGGACACCCTGAAAAACCTATAAATACCCAAGCCCCACCCTTATATACTTGGATTCAATCCAGTAGGTCTGAAGCTCAAACTAGAAATTGGCACTATTTTTTAAAGTTCTCCAGGCAACTGTTATGCAGTGAAGTTTAACATAGGACATTTGAAAATGCATGGTAAATTACAGATCAATACAAATATACATTATTATCACCTTTCACTCTTAGCAATACCAAATAGTTCTGTTTCAAAGCAGTAGTAATTATCATTTATACATACTTGGTGACTCTGCATTTTCATCTTCTGGGGTGTCTGAGGTGGACAACAGCTACAAAAAAATATATACATGTAAATTAAAATATAGACTTTATCCTGCCCATTGCAATAAAAATGAGTCAGCAGGCCTATTTTATTTCACGTGCTACAAACTGCCTGCTCACTGGCAATTGTTTTTAGTATATGCACCGCTGCGGTGCTCACTGGCAGTTTTTTTAATCAAAATCAGTGCTTCATTTATATTCCCGTGTTATTCCCTGGGCCCGGAGCTAATAGTTCCTGGTGGGGGGCTGGGGCAGGAAAAGGGTTCAGCTTCAGAGAGCATCACTTTCCCTTTCCTCCGGCCTATGGCTCCTGCTCACCCTTCAGGGCAGATCAGACCCTCTCTGGTACCCACTGTCCACAGTTAGGAAGTCTTTGTCCCTCAGCCTATCATATAAGTTTGTATTTGCTTTTCCAAGATTAGAAGGAACAATATATTTCTCTTTCTTCAATCTTTGAAAGAAAAATTTATAGAATAAAACTATGAAATGGTACTATCCTAACTTACTTTTCCCTCAAATAGTTTCAGTATTATAATTTAATTGGAGAAATGCTTGAAGAAAAGCACAGCAAATATTATTTTTCAGGAGGTTACCAATAATCTGTTTTTCTCAGAAAAATAGTACTTTCTAAGATCACATGAAGTTTTGCTCAAAAAAGAAAATATGTTTTTAAAATGGCTTTTGTGTTTTTAAGATAACTTTTATCTTTTCACTGAAACACTCCTCTGCAAGGAACAAAAAATGATTTCATTTGTTGGTAACTAATGATTTATGCAGAAAAACCTTCCCCTTCCCTACCTGTTCAAGCAGATGTGGGTAACTGGCTTGAACCTGACTGATGAATTCCTGCCCTTTAACTCTCACCAAGTACTCACACCTGAAATGCAAACAAAATAAATTATGAAGCATTCTTTTCATCAAAGCAAAATAAAAATTTAATACCAAATTCCTCATCCGTAAGGGTTTATCCCATTTGAAATCTGATTACAGGCCTCAAATCACACAATCATGTAAGATCACTAATTCTAAACACGAAGTTTGAAGAATAAATAAATCCTAGTCCTGTGGTAACTCTTTGCTATTTATCCTTTAAAAAGTGGTTTTTGGGGGCTGGGGATTTAGCTCAGCGGCAAAAGCGCCTGCCTGACAAGCGCAAGGTCGTGAGTTCGGTTCCCGGTACCGGAGAAAAACCAAAAAACTAACCTATAAAATATCACTTCATAGGATTCAAATTGTCTTAGGTGTGAATTTTTAAATTTGTTCTTTAATGTACTGCCTGTTGCAGTTAACATGAATTTAACTCACAAGTATGGTTTGCATATGGTTTGAATGTCTGATAAAAGTAGTTTTATTAATTTCATATTTTCAGGCATATATCATGCTTCAGCTAATTTTTGTTTGTTTTTTGTTTTTGTGGTACCGGGGTCAAACTCAGGACCTTGCGCTTGCCAGGCAGGCGCTGTGCTGCTGAGCCATATCCCCGGCCCCCGGTTTATCTTAATTTGAACAGAGCGAATGTAGTCACTTGTAAAGTGGTAAATATTCCAAATGGGCCTAAACGTGAACATAACCACTTCATCTCCATGTAGCCCAAGGGAGTGGTAGGAGGCACTGCAGTGAAGGCAGACTGATGCGGGCAGGAGGGCATGGCTGGCACTGCGCCACGCTGAAGTGGGTGAGAGCTGGTAACGTCTCAGCCTATTTCCTGCAGTCGAGTCATGCTGTCTCCACTTAGACTCCTCACTATTCTCTTCAGTTATTCTAGGACTCTTGAAAGTACCCTGACACACGCACTAAAAACAGAGGACATGGAGACAGAAAGTTCCCTAAGTGAGTGACGCAGCCTGTATGATAAGTGACTCAGCTCATATGATAAGTGATTTAGCTCGTATGATAAGTGACTCAGCTCATATGATAAGTGATTTAGCTCGTATGATAAGTGATTCAGCTCATATGATAAGTGATTCAGCTCATATGATAAGTGACTCAGCTCGTATGGTAAGTGATTCAGCTCATATGATAAGTGACTCAGCTCATATGATAAGAGATTTAGCTCATGGTAGTCTTAAAAGCTGAAAATGTACAAAGAACAATAGAGAGAGGATGAAGGACCTGAAGACATCTTCCAATATCATATAATCTCGTTTGTCTCTTCCTATGAGATGTACACCCATTATCAAACCTAAGTACAAAATGAATCAGTGTCATCACCAAAGCAAATTTACTATTTTTTTGGAATATTCTCAAAACTACCAAATGGAAAGAAATGTTTAAAAACCATGGACGTGGTCCTCGTGACCTTTACAGTCTTAAAACTTTACAAAAGATAGGGAGCACGGGGCTGGGGATTTAGCTCAGCGGCAAAAGCGCCTGCCTGGCAAGCGCAAGGTCGTGAGTTCAGTTCCCAGTACCAGAGAAATACCAAAAAAAAAAAAGGGAGCGCAAAGTTGCTATAAATGAAAATAGTGTACTATATACAAATGTATATAATGAACATGTCAGAATACTGACATTAGAGAATATTGACTATGAAAAATATAATTATAGGTAGTGTGCTTTAGATGAAATAGAGCATCCAAGGGTACAGAATAATCAAAATGGTAAGACAATAAAATTCTATGTAGTAATCGAGACAGATGAGGTGTATTTAGTCTTCCCCCGACCACCCGATTCAGTGTCAAGACTTCCTTTGAACCCCTCTCCCTTCTCTTCTCTCCTTTTTCTCCCTCAGGGGTGAGGTCTGAATCCACAGCAAGTACCCTACCAGGAGGTATATCCCAGCCCTCGTTTTTCTTTCTATTCATGGCATTTATTACCGTCCAGATGCTGTGTAACTTCGTAAGCTGTTACCAGTCATCTGTCCTTTTCTGCTACAAAATGAGCTGATGAGACCAGAGGGCCTTCGCTTTGCTCAGCAGAATATTTTATGTGCCACTTAGAACAGTGCCTGGCGATACAGGATCCCCACTAAAGAACACTGAGTAAGTGTTGAATGAAACAGGTTGCAGGCAGATGTTGACAAAACTATTTATAACGTTTAAATGAATTTGATTTACTACTAGTCCTACTACTATGTAAAATTACATTTATTTCCATAGCAAGATAGATATAGATATATAGATATTTGGGGGGATGGGAACTAGATATTAGTCACTGGACATTTTCTTTTTCTTCTCTGTACTTTTCTACAATATGTGACTTTATAATGAGTATTTTTAAAACATATTCCTAAAACATTAAAAATATCCTAAACCTATCTCTTCTCCATGTTAAATTCTTCAAAACCTTTCAAATTATAATTTTTCTAAGTAACCTGTTCTAAACCTACAAATGTATCTTTGGAACAGAGAAAGAATACTTCACAGCTGGTTATAAGGTAAGCACAGAAAACCCGTAAGATGATAATAGAAAAGTACTGGAAGAGAATTTCAAGATAGTTACCTTGGAAACCACTTGGCATGCTCTACCCAGGGATCATCTCCCAACTCCCAACACCTCAGTCCACCGTCACAGCAAAAGCACTTGACATCATCACTGTGCCCTAAAATTAACATTAGACCAAAGCTTATGAGTACATATAATTTATCCACTAAAATATATAAGATAGAACATTTTGAATTTTTTAAATTAGCAAATTAAATTTCTTACCCACATAATAAAAACCCGCACTTGCAAGCTGCTCGGGATGGACCAGGACACTTGAAGGCCAGTTGGAGAACGTTCTGAAGCGGGCTGCGTGTGTCTGCATGCTTAGATTGGAAACAGCGTACCTCGAAGTATTTTGAAGCTGATTTTCTAAGAAAGGGCAGTTGGGGAAATGTCTCAGGTGTTCTGCCATGGCGTCATCCTTCGGTTCCCAGTTGCTCAGCTTCCCACCGCAGGCAAAGCAGGCCACTCTGTCTCCAGGCCCTATGTAGTAAAAGCCTGCTTTGGCCAGATCTGTCGGTGAGAGAAAAGTCAAAGGCCACGTTTGGTACGTGAGCAGTCTGGCTTTTTCCGTACTCATCGCGCAGTGATAGGGACTTGTCCTCAAGGCGGAGAAATCTTGATTGGCTCTGAAGTTCACAGGACTTGATGGAAAGCTTGAATACGAGCCACTGAAATAGCCACTGTGTTCCGAACCTGGCGGTAACGAGTGTGTGGGAGTTGCTACTGCAGAAGAAAAGGAAGGCTGAGGGGCAGCTTCCGGCGTGGTGGCCGAAGTTAAACTCTGCACAAAGCTGCAGCTGGGATACAACTTCTTATGCTTCTCCACCGGACTGTCTCCCTGTTTCCAGTTGTCCAGCATCAGGCCGCAACAGAAGCATCTGACTTTGTCGTTCACGCCGGTGTAGTAGAAACCGGCGCGAGCGAGGCTCCTCTCCGAGACAGGAACCCCAGCAGGGAACGCGGAGTACGTGGACATTCGGTACAGCTCACAGGAGACGTCGTACTTCAGTTCAAACACGCTGGCGCTCTTCATCAAGTTGGACAAGAAGATGCTATTTTCTACTATATTCATAACGAAGTGGACGGGGAGGGAAAGGGGCCAGTCTTTCTCTGGGGAGGTAGTTTTGTGCATGGCTTTCGGTGTAATCAGTTTGACTATTAGGCTGACTATCAGAAATGAGAACTCTAATTTCTTCTGTGCCTTTCGGGTTCCAGCTTGGTGGGATTCTAAATCCCACACGGTTACATCTTAAGGGACAATCACGTCCAACGGCACCTTTGCACGCTCTTTATACACACAGGGTGTATTTGATGCTACGCAATAGCCCGTGCTGAAGACTACAGTGCTGCCTGGAAGCATAACGTGTTTGAGGTCATCGGTGTGCCGTTCGTGTTGGACACGTAAGGGGCAGGTCAGCTTCTCCCGGTCACTGCGACGCCTCCGCCCGCTTCACTCAGCCTGCAGGTGAGGTGTCTGACTCACACAGCTAGCGCCCGTTCATGACGGGAGGCTGTGTCCCACCACTGCTCTAGCAGTGACCAGTGAACAAGTCCTGCTGCTTTTCCTACCAGGATGTGCCACCATGGTGCTGACGGCAACACCTGGTCTCCAGGTAGCAGGAGAAACAGCACAGCCGGCTGGCAATCATCACTTCCCTCCCCGTAAGTTACTGTGCCCTGACTTTATTACTCTCTTCCACAGGAAAGACTTCTGTAGGTTGTTACAAAGTGTTTCTTAGATAAATTTTATTTCTGCATACGTTTGTTCTTTGTTCGGTTCCCAAAATGTAACCACTGAACCATTGGCTCTCAGGCTCCTCCTCCCAAGATAACAGTCCTATTCAAACAAAATAAATTTTAAACTTTTAAAATATCAGTGGCCTTTTACACAGCGGATACTCTCTTCACTAATCATGTTTCTCTTTTGCACTTTCTCTAAATTTGTGCTGTTTATCAAAAAGTTTTGGTCTTGACGCTTTTTGTCATTGCAGAAATCCTTTAATATATCAAAGGCTTCACTTGAATATTTCTCTAATCTTGAAGAAGGTTGATTAGCTCTCTGTGCTAGATAACTATCACTCATTTTTAAGTCTTTACCAAATGCAGGTACTTTCTTTTTTTACCTCTACAGAGAAGCCCATGGGAGACTGCCTAGCCAACTGTGAAAAAAGCGCTTTAACAATATACCTCCAAAATAGCTGCTTCTTTACTTCCACAAATCAAATTTAAAATCAAAATCATTATAGTTTAATCTCAATAATTAGATTATATTTAAAAATTAACATTCTTTGGACATTACACCAAGAAGTCCAATTAACTATTAATTTGTTTTTCATGCACAAAACTACCTCCCAAGATTAGACTGACCCTTTTTAGGGCTTTAGGCCTCCATTTTGAGATGTTTTGATTGGTAGAAGAAACTAGAAAAAAGCTGCCAGTAGAAGAAGGGTTTGCGTCCTTTGTAAGCCTGTTTAGAAAGAGAGTTTTAAAAATCAAATAATTCACATATGCAACACAATGACCTTTCTCTTAAAACATTTTCCCCAAGGCACGGTGCGTTCCCCTGTGTGTGCACACTTATCAACTGATTTCCTTCCCAGCCAACCTACAGTGTGGGACTCAACCGCACAAAGTGACATCAGCAAAAATCCCCTAACGCTGCGCTAATGCTAAGCGGCTTTCAGTGGGGCAAGAGAGGGATCGGATAGCACTGTAATTAGATTATTTAGCCAGTTCTGCAGCACATCAGGAAATCTTTCCACAGTTACCATCCAGAAGCCTCAGCTTCATACTAGCACCAGTTTTACTACCTTAAAGAATCGCAGAAGAGAGCTCCAAAGGGAGTATTTTTCTGTTCATAGTGGCGATAGATTTGCTTTCACGTTTGTGTAATTAAACTAAACACTAAAAAAGAAAAAAAACTATTTTCTCCAAAATAGAGTAGCAGCATTGTCTACCACATACAAAATGCTACACTAGATGCTATACTAGCTGTACTAAACAGTATAGCTTCCTGTTTGTCTATCACGCCCAAAGCCCTGGGTTCAATCCCCAGCTACACACACACACACACACACACACACACACAGAAGAGAAAGGAAAAGAATTGTAGTAAGCACCAATGGGCCAAGAAATCCCGTGCAAGGACTAGAAGTCTCAAACTGGTGGCCAGTACACATCTTATATTTGGCTTGCACAGAACTGAATTACAGTATTTTGCTAATTTTTTAAACTTTTAAAAATTAAAATTATACTTAGAAGAAACTTACAAAAATAATAAGAGTTTCCATATTCTCTACACTGACTTTCTTCAAAAATAGTACCTTATATAACCTGGGTATAATTATAAAAACAAAAACATTAACATGGATACAACGCTGTTAATTAATCCACATTCCTTATTTGAATCTCACCACATTCCTGAATATTTTTTTTCTTGGGCCACAATATGCTTTTTATTGTTTGCTTGTTTTTGTTTTTTGAGACAGGATCTTGCTATGTAGTCCAGCTGGCTTTGAACTTACTGTGCAGCTCAGGCTGGCCTTGAGCTCAGGGCGATTCTCCTGCCTCAGTCTCCTGAGTGCTGGGATTATAGTTGTGCACAACCATGCCCAGAGGGCCACAACATTTTTAAATATTTTTTTTCTTTTTGAGACAAGGTCTTGCTACATTTAGCTGAAGTTAGATTTGAACTTGTTATGTAACTCTGGCTACCTTCTACCTAGCAATCCTCCTGCTTCAGCATCCTGAATGCACCACACCCAGCTTTGTTTTGTTTTTGTTTTCTGAGACAAGTTCTCACTACACAACTGTAAGCCAGCCTTGAACTGGAGATTGTCCTGCATCAGCCTCCAGAATATTAGGATTATAGGCATGCACTACCACCCTTGATTGTTTTTAAATCTTATAGCTAATTGCTAACACTTTTTAAATGTAAGGGATTTCCCAGAGCAGTCTAGATTCACACTTGCAAGGCGAGAATAGAAGGCAGCAATCAGGTACAGCCCCTGGCACCAATCAGGTACAGCCCCTGGCACCAATCAGGTACAGCCCCTGGCACGGCCACGCCCTCTGGACAGGGTGCTGCACTTTGGCCCCCTGCTACATGGATGGCCCCTTGCTGTTTGTCACTGACCTGGGGCTATCGTTTCTTTGACAGTAGAATTAGGAGCAGCATAAAACTACTGTAATAACTGCCTAGCACAAGTAACAGAAACGAAAGTTAGATAAAGAGGAACTCCCCCTTTTTGTAGATAATAAAAGAACTATTTCTCCGTGGAGAGGAAGAACGGTCACTTATGTCAGATATGCAAACAGTTCGCCTCTGTTAACAGAACCACCCAGTCTTCACTCGCTCGCGTCACCTGCCGGGCCCTGCACGCACTGAGTGTGCAAACCCCTCACGCACACCTCCTCTGAACAAGGCACGCATCTGTGCAAAGGCAGACAGCAGCGCACAGCGCGCACGCAAACGCCCCGATCGGGTTAGCCTCTGTCTTAGCACTCCCTTCCACCTCGTGCCCCTGCACACTGGGACCCGCAGCCTCGCTTCGGACCTCCCGGTCCCCGGCCAGGCCCACCCACCCGGCCAGCCCCACGCGCCCCTTCCCGACGCCTTCCGCACGTCCTCTCCCCCGCGTGTCACTCCCGGGACACCGCCTCCGCCCACACTCACCGCCGCTTCGCCGCGGGACCCTCCGCAGGGCTGACTTCCCACGACCCCAGAAGTCCTGCTCCTGCATTTCCTGTCGCCCCTCACTGCCTCAGCTCCCACTCTGGCCCTATTCCTTCCACCTGACGTCCTGCTGACCTCTAGCTCGGCTTTCAAATGAAATCAAGCAAACAAACACCCTCTTTCCATCCCGCTTCCTACGCCAGCAACTGCCTGGCACCTGACACAGCCAGACAAAATGAACTTGTGTCCACGGTGGCGAACACCTCCACGTCCCCGCCTCCCACCCACTCCTTAACCAGCCCACTTTGAAAACACTGTCAGCCCGTGCAGCGGTGCACACCTGTAATCCCAGCACTCAGGAGGCTGAGCCAGGAGGCTTCCAAATTCTAGGCCAACCTGGGTTACGCAGTGAGTTCAGGGCCACCCTGGCCTGCATAGTGAGAGACCTTGTTTCAAAATACTAAAACTAAGCCGGCAGTAAAAACAAACAAACATTAAACTAGTACAGTAGCACATGCCTGTTATCCCAGTGCTGTGGGAGGTTGTGACAGGAGGATCTCAAGTTTGAGTCCAGCGTAGGCAATTTAGCAATTTAGAGAGATCCTGTTTCAAAAATTTAAAAGTTTTTCTTTTTTATCTTTAGAGGTGCGTGGATGTAGCTCAGCGCAAAGACCCTGGGTAAAATCTCCAGTATTGCAAAAACAAACAAAAAGGAAATCTCTGAGGAAACCAATGAAAAACTATGAAACAGTGATGGGCAGACTTCCTCTTAGAAACTCTCTGCTCCCCGGCTTCTCCAATGGCACAGTTTGGAATTCCTCTTTCCACTCCAGTGGTTCCTTGCCAGATGCGCTCAGGCCCGCAGCCTCCGCTCCTTACTCCACCGCTTCTGACACCCACCCGCCTCGGGCACTGAGCCGGCCCAGCCCTGCGAACCTGGGGGGAAGTGTGTCATGGATCTGCCTCCCCCGACACTGTGACTCCTTCAGAAGAGGAACAGGTTGTTTTTTAATGTTAAAGATAAAAGAACAAAAACATATTAACACACACACAAACAAGACAACACAAAAACAACACAAGCAATGTAGAATTTCAGACAAGGTGACCGGAAACTAACAACGGCGGTTGTGTTACATATTGTTATCTTCAAATTGGTTACTCAGTTAAGCAAACAGAGGCATGTAAGATTGATCAAACAGTTGAACATTAACTGTTCCTTTCCATAAAGCGAGAGAAACTAGGAGTACCACTATCTTAGCTGTCTTGTGTACACATATATAATGTTCTTTTCCTTCTTTTCTCTTTTCCCTCATCCCAGTTGTTCTTTCCTTCTGAGCAGTTTCTTTCCTAAGACCCTGTTCCTATCTAAAAGGTACACCATGAACAGGGTTTTATTTCTGTACCCGCCTCCCTGCCGGCTTCACCCACAGAGCCTGGCACAGCAGGCAGACCCCGCGGCTCTCCCTGGGGGAGTGTCCGCGGGCTCGCCTGAGCGCTGCGCGGCCACAGGGTCCTCACGCGGCCTTAAGGACAGCAGCTTTACGCTCATGAGCAGCAAGTGTGCTCGGGTATCTTGGATTTCCAGTACAAACGAGAGTGCCTCTTTACCAGGAGGGTGAGCTTGGACAAGTCCGTCTCCCTGGGCGTCCGTTTCCCTATTGTGGGATGGAAATATTACGCTACTTGCTTAAGAGGGTCAAAACTTCAACATTAAAATACGTGGAAGGCCTCCAGGGGCAACCGGGCTCACAGCAGGAAGCCACACGGACGGCTGCCGGCAAACAGTGTGAAGTCGCCGCTGCAGCGGGGGCGGACGCGCCCACCGCCGGGGAAGTAGCCGCGCGCGGCCGTCCCTGCGCGCGCCCGGGACCGAACTCCACCGCCGCGACGTCTCCCTGCG